GAGATGCAGCTCCTGGGAGCTTGAGAGGACAGAAACTGTTCGGTGCCGGAAAGTCCAGGCGGTAGTAGCTTGCTGCAGTAGAAAAATTCTTTGGGAAAATGGAAAAAAAAAAACAAGAGAGGTGAGAAGAAAGAGGTTGGTGCAGCAGCTGACAGGAAAATAAAGGGCTTGTTTGCAGCCAGGAACTGCCCTTGCCGTGTCTCTCCCCCGGCCCAGCGCCCCCCGCTGCCCCGCCCTCTGGGTCGGGGGGGTGCGGGGGCCCGAGGGTGTTGCGCGTCCCTAGCGACCGCGGTTGCGGGGGGGCCCCTACGCCCCGAGGCGGAGTTGTCCCGCACCCCAGGGGGTGGAGGGCTGTAGCGCCCCAAGATGGCGGGGATCCCACCCCAGGGGCGGGAGGGTGAGGCAGGCAGGGACACCCCGAGCTGGAGGTGCACCCCTTTCCTTGGGGCGGGACACGCCAGGCTGGAGGTTCCCCTCCTTACAGTATCGGGGGGTGGGGGGGGACTGTTGTACTTCTGGGTACAGGGTATTCCCCACCACGGCTGCAGGATGAGGGCTCCCCCGAGGTGTGGGGTTTTTCCCTCCCTCAGGGATAGGGGGGCTGAGAGCAGTGGGGGCATTCCCAGGGTGAAGGACATTTACCCCACCCCTAAGGCTGCGGATGGGGGGGACAGAAGGAGGAAATCGGAGCACCTCCGAGGTGTGGGGTGCTCCCCTAACCCCAGGGCTGACGTGCACTAAGGGGACCGGGGGGGTGTGGGGGTCGTTCAATCCTTTTTGTGCCGTCTGAGCAGCACCAGACCCTCGGTGTGGTGCCTGAGCCTTTAGCAGCAGCTGTCAGAGCCAAGGGGCTTCCAGCCTCCTTCCCTCCCTCTATACCAGCATAACAATTTTTGAAGAAAGAGGATTTCCCTTCTGCCCCTCCGCAAGCTGAATAACTAAGGGAAAACCATTGGTGTCCCTGTGGTTTCCGTGTACAGGCGTACCAAGGCTGTTCCCAAGGCTGTGTTAGTGGTTTTCCTGTAACCCACGTGTGTGTGCATCACGCTGGGACAGAACCCTGCTTTCAGCATCTCTGTGCTGGGCCTCGTCTTTCTGAGCGTTGTTACTGCAGTTCCTTTCAAAAGCTGAGAATGGGGCTGGGAATGTTTGGGGTTTTTTCACCTTTGTGCTTTTAGATGTGGACGCTTGTCTTCCTAGGGAGCTGAGCACCCTCGTTGATAGACACAGTAGATACATCTTATCTCTACCTCACTTCCCAGAGCATAGAAGGAACCGGTGTTGTCTTCTGAGGTTGCATAATCGCACTTGTTTGGTTGGTTTTTTGGGTTTGCCTTTCCCCAGAGGAAATGAGGCATCTGCTTGGTGGGGGTGCTGGTTTTTCCCTTCCGTACAGGACGTTCCATCAGCTTCACTAGCTTGGCCGGGCTGTGCTTTCTTTGGTTAAAGAGTGGCAGAAGGCACGCAGGGGGAACGTTTCCTTATGGGACATTATACCGGAGCTTTGACTCCGTGTGCCTTGTGCCATAGGTGTGTAAACACAGCAGCGACCTACTGGGGCTTATTTACCTGCTGCCCTTGGGGCAGATAAGGATCATTGCACTCGGAGTATTGTCTAATTCTGAATATCCAGGAATGTGACTCCAGGCAGTTTCTCCCAGGGGGCTTTTTTGATATCAGCAGATGGCCGCTGAAATGGGCCTGTAGGCAGCAGGGTTATCCTTATCGGAGGGATGGTCCGTGTCATGGACAGACTTTTCAGTTGAACTGGTGGTGAGTGTTTAACCCGCTGGCTGGAGGGTGGAGAAATGTCTGTCTCTCGCGTGCTTGGCTTGTTTTAGTGTCCCTGTTTTTCTGCTCTAGCTAAGTTAGGGCTGAGCAGTGGGTGCTGCTGGCAGGGCTGGAGCTGGTCGGCCCAAGCGACTGTTGGACTGAGAAAAGGAAAGGTGGTGGCTGAGAGCCAGGGACGCTGGTGGCTGTTAGAGCTGAGCTTTCCAGGTGTGTCTGAGCATAGTAACCTTCCTGCTTGTGAGTCTGCACTTAGCTGGTGCACATCCTGCTTTACATGGTAGAGAGCGGGGGAAAAAAAACGTGTTTACCGTTTAAATTGCATTTTGACGGGTAATTTTAACAGTATTTTTGCAATTTACTGGATGTAACTCATTCAGCTGTAAAAGTGCATTAAAAGACCGTGGAATCCCTGGTGAGAGCTGTGATCCCACTTGTCCAGCCTCTTTCTGGGGAAATGTGGGTATTGCTAGGCCAAATCCCTGGCTGGAAGGGAGGGAATAGTCTTAACGTGAGGAGCTCGGGGTGAGCTGTAGCTTATTGAAGAGGTACTTGAAGTTCTGTGCTCCTAAATAAGGGCAGTTATTTTCCATTCTTGTAAGTGGTAATAAAACCAAGTTGTTGTCAGGCTTTTGCTGCAATAAAAGAAATCAAGGCCACGTCTGTCTCTTTCTGGATTAGGCTGGTGGAGCGGAGCAGGTTACTTTGTCATGAAAAGCCTGCAAATTTAATGCGATGGGAAGGTGAGATGCTTTGAAATGTAACAGGATCTTTTTAAAGATCCTCAATCCTTCTAAACAGAGTAATATAATTAGTTTGCTAATCGGTGCCGATGGCGGAAGTTGGTGAGAACAGATCAACAGAGAAATCCATGGGGGCAGACATGGGAAGTGGTGAGCTTGGTCCGAGCCCTTCTGGTGCAGCGGAGCCCTAAGATCCTGCCGTAGGGCCTGAGCTCCGCCGGGGACTCTGTCCTGGAGAGCTGGCAGCCGAAGGCAGGGAGGGCGCAGGGAAATACCTTTGGGCCCATGGGGGTTCAGACAGGCAAGAGAACTTTGCAATCTGCTGTTTGAACCCAAGGCTGGTATTTTAACAAGATCGTTTGTAAAAGCAGGCTGATGGGAAGGGTTGGATGTGGAAGCTAGAATGTCAGTAGAGTTCTTAAGAACAAAAGTATGAATAATATTTTCTGGTTTGGCTAATTGTAGCTCTTTGTTTTGAATTAAAGAAGCAGTGTAAATAAAAATAATGACTTCTATTTAAATGAAAACAATGTCTTCCAACCTAGCTGTTTTATAGCAGTAGTGGCCATTTATTTGTTGCTTCTAACGCTGAAATTAAATGACTTCTCATCTCCTGCTTTACTGTCCTTTTAAAGTTGCTTATAAAGAAGGTAATGTATGTCCTGGAGTAGAACCCTTTAGTGTTCAGTTTAAGAGGCTTTGAATCGTTAAGCAAGTATCGTTAGGATACAGGTAGCTGGTCTGATGATTTAGAAGGGACAACCGGGGACTCTCTCTCCGCTGCTCATCGCACATGTACATCTTACATTTATTACCCATCTTCTCTTTACTTTAAAGACACTGCTGGGCATCTTCCTTTGTCTCTGCTGTGAGTAGAGGGGCTCCAACACGCTTTTAAGCTCGATTTTCTCTTGACCCCGTCGTATTCTCTTCCCACCCTCCTTTTTTCACTTTGGAGAAGAAAATTCCTGTTTCATGCTGCTACGGCTTAATTAAACTGAGAGGGCTCTGCAGGGTTCCCATGGCTGTTTAGCAAACAGCTTTGCTGGCCTGTGATACCAACAAACAGTTTTGTTGTGAGTGGTGATCTAACTGCTTCCAGCAAAACTTGGGATTATTTCGTTTTGATGTGCCAGTAGCCTTGATGTGTGTAGGGATGTGAGCCTTCGAAAGAAGGAAGAAAAAAAAAAAAAAAAGTTGGGCAAGGCTGATAAGGGTGTGATAAGGACTGGGCTTTTGAGGCCATGCAGTCTTGCTCTGCAGAACCAGCCTTGATCTATGACAAAGAATGTTAACTGGGAAAGCGAAAGAGCAACTGGTTTTGATACGGTGTTGTATTCAAGGACCTCAGACGTCAGCGTAGCCGTGGCAGAGCTCCTGGCGTGGTGGCGTGGTTTGTGCTGGGGAAGTGCTGTGATCCCAGCCCGCTCCTCACGGGGCCGGAGTCTGTCTGCTGCAGATCTTCCTCCTGTCAGAGCTCACCCGCTCGGGCACGTACCTCTTTTTAATCACCTATATGCCAAAAAAGATTTCATTAGCAGCTTCCTAACTGAATTACTGAACTTTGAGGATATAATGAGCCTAATGCAGAAGCTGGGGGCTGGCTTACTTCACAAAACCAGTTTGGGGCATGTGTTGGTATCCGGGGCCTGGCAGCATCCTTCAGTTCCTGCAGTTATTTATCTTAATGACCTGAGCGACTCCTTCGAGAATCAGCACAAAGCAAACAGCCCAAATATCACTCACTTTCCTCACCTACTTCTTTGTTTATATTCTGTGTCTTTTTAGGCAGATTTTTTGAAAGGATTACCAGTCTACAACAAAAGCAACTTCAGCAGATTCCATGCGGATTCTGTATGTAAAGCATCAGTAAGTATTGCCACATTCTGGTGCTTTGGGGGAAGGTTTTCTTGCACGGCTCGAAGGATGCTAGAGCGAAATAAACTTGAAATGAGTATTTTGTTTCTTAAAAAACACGTGTGATCACAGCTGATAGTTCATGAGTTGAGACTGGCAAGGAAAACTTCCTGCTTGCTTTGGTGAGGAATGTGTCCTCGCATCAGCCAAACCACATCTGTGGTGCTTCCTTTATATATACATTCTTTAATAGTAGTCTCATGTCCTGAAAAACATGTAAAAAATGGACCTCCTTCTTTATATGTCTGTTTTAAAAAATGATAGCCACGCGGCGTCACGTAACAGAGCAGAACATCACAAGGCATTTGTTAATGAGGGCCTTTGGGTTGTTTTAGCTGTGCTTGGGTTAAAAATCACCTTTTTGCTGTCTTTGTTCTGTAAGTGTTCTAATTCTCCTACAGAATAGAAGACCATCGGTATATCTTCCCACAAGAGAGTATCCATCTGAACAAAGTGAGTCCGTTCTCCTAAAGTTTGAGGTTTTTAAAAAACTTTATCCTGTTCTGATATTAAAAATCCAGTGTACATGTAATCTCCCTTATTTTAAACTTCAGATATGGTGATATTATTGAACTGTCACTGCAGTGATTAGCAGTGTATGTCTAATGGGTTTTTTTTGTGCTTTTCCTCTTATCTTTATTGTTCCTGCATAGTGTCCTTTCATTAAAAGGGACCATGCTTAGTATATGAAGGAACGTGGTGATGAGTATGTGAGGGAATGTGGTGATTACTGCACCATTTTAAGAGTCGTCTTTAAAATGACCTCAGTGTTTTTTTTTTTTTTTTTTTTTTTTTTTTTGGCAGTTATAGTAACAGAAAAGACAAATATACTTTTGCGTTATCTACATCAGCAGTGGGACAAAAAGGTATGGTTGTGTTTTCTTAATATTAACATTTTGTCTTGATTTGCTGACCTGGGCTAAATGAGCTGAATATTAATCACAGTCAATATACTGACGATTAATAAAAAGACAGTGCAGGGAGGCTCTCTCTCTGCACAACACTTTAAAAAACACCAAACTTTTCTTCCCTTTCAATGTGAGGGACATTAACTCAGTGTTTAGTCTAGAGCTTGGGAGTCTGCAGTTACATCTCCCAGTTACTGCTGTTTTCCTTTGTGACTGTGGCAAATTGGTCCCTCTGTGCCTCAGCATCTACTTTACAGCTGAGGAAAAGCTGCTCTCGCCTCCCAGGACTGTTAGGAGAAGACAGATGAGTTTGTGCAGAGTGTGAGTGCCCTATGGAGGCTGTGTAAGTACCTTGGGTACAAAATCAGATTTCTCAGATGAGGAATATAACAAAAATGAGCGTTCTCTGGCTGGTGTTTGAGACTGGGGTAGCTGGGTTGGGACTAGTGGGAGCAGTGCGGTGACTTAGGAGGGGAGACGTTGAAGCAGTGAGTGAATCATGGGCAGAGGTTGTGCAAGAATGTGGAGAGGGGTAAAATTGTAAGGAACCTTGAAGCTGAAAAGAAAGTATTCGTATGTGACAGAAGGCTTTGGGAGATTTTGATAAGTTCAGGGACTGACTCAGAGTAGTGGGAAAGAGGCTCTTACTCATGTTTATGCAATATTTGAGATCTATAAATAAAAGGTGCTGAGATCAGTGGTGGTTTAGTCCCACCCTCAAATTTGAAGAACAATCTAGAAGGAGCAGCTCTGGGCTTTGGGCAAAATCCTTTGCAGTGTTTGTTCCAGTGTGTTAGTTAAGTCTTTGCATCCAAAAACTTGTACAAAGAAAAATTTGTTCTACTGATAATAGCTTCCACTCAGGCTTTGGAGAGTTTCACTGTGGCTTTCTCTGTCCCAACAGAATGCAGCAAAGAAGAGAGATCAAGAGCAAGTGGAAATAGAAGGTGAGAATTCGGCGCCGCCACGGAAAATCGCTCGAACAGACAGCCAGGATATGAACGAGGACACTTAAACTCTTGGCTTCCTCCTCTACTACTTTGCAGGCGCTTCCTGTTTTGTCTCAAAGTGTGTAAATTTTGCCCCTTGCCCCCATCTCTCACCCCTCCACTACACAGCCCAAACCACTTCTGACGTCATAGGAGCCAATGTATTTATTTTAATTTTTTTTTTCCTCTCCATTTTTTTATTTATGCCGTAAAACTTACGGAGCAGTGGTGGAACAATTCAGTAAATGACGTAGTATAACCTTAGTTCCTCCTTTCTAAAAATATACACTGTCACTTTCACAGGTTTTGTTGAATCTGTTACCTAATCAACCAGGTCTAGCTGTGGGAGCCTGGGTAGGAGACGTGGGTTATTACCAAACCCTCCAGTGGTAGAGGCTTTCCGATTCGCATACCTGCTGACATATTACAAGTGGTTAACTCTTCTTCAGATGTGCCCAGTCCAGCCAGAAGTGTGGGACCTCACTATTTTTCACAAGTATTCTGAAACTGGCCCTGCACTAAAAAAAGAAAAAAAAAAAAAAAAAAAGTTCATGGGTGTCGTTTAGGGTTATGTTGGTCTTAGCAAACGTGTTGTCAACCTGATCTATCAGTTGTGTTCTTTGGGCCTGCTCTGTAAGGGCCGCGGTCGTTTGGCAGCGTACGTTATCTCATGCATCAGTGGTCATGGAGAATTCAAGTGAAAGGTGTGTTGCTTTTGTTGCTCTTAAATTCTAAACCGTCTCTTGGTCTTGAACGGACTGGTGTGTGCAACTTCTCCGTTGGAATAAAAGGATACTCTTAGCCTTTTCTGAGTATTTGATCAGCAGCGTGTGTAAGCAGCAGCTGGTGGAGCGGAGGTGGGGAGGCCCCCGCAGGCTGGACAAGGCTGAGAGCGCCTCGGGATAATGGTACGTTGTCCTTTCCTGTGATCTCGGCACGTCTGGAATGGAGTCCAGGACTCGGAGTTGATCGAAATGTGAGCTTCCATGGTCTCTGATGAAGACCAATCTCTTTTGGACTGTGACAGTTCAGTGCCTGTTGCCTGTAACCCTTCACTGACTCTTTGATAAGAGCCAAAATGGAGACCTGCAAGTCGTCCGGGTGGATTCAGAGGTTCAGAGACTAAAAGGAGACCAGCGTCGTCACCTGAAGGGGACAGGGAAGGTGTAGCTTAGTTATGATGTCTTGTCTGCTTTAACGTAAGAAGCTGACTTCACACTGTGTTAGTTTAAATTGTTGCATTTGTAGCTGTGTTTTCTCCTCGTGGACAAATCCTAAACACCAAGAAATTGCACGAACGTTTTTTTTCTAGAGATTCTGGATAAGCCTCGTTCTGAGTGGCTGCAGTGGCCATGAGCTTTGAGGGTTTCTGCTGTCCCCTTCACCAACTTTGAGGGCTTCTGTGTGTCCCCCATCCAACCAGGGGCTGCCATGTGTTCAGGTTTGGGGGTGAAGGGAGGTAAACTGTTGCTGACGACCACGTGTTGCAAGGCAGAACCTTAGGAGGAACAGTGCACACAGCTCACGTTGCAATTTGAAATGTACATTAGGCACCAAGTTTCTGATGCAGTGAGTGAATTTAACTTAACACTGAGTAGTTTAGAACTTTGTATCTGCCTCAAAAAAACCCGTTACCTTTTTGCTATGGCAGTAACCTCCAAAGCACTGGAATGTCGATGAAAATGCCAACTGTGTTGGTGAAGATAAAACACACGTGGGTTTCCGTGTGATTTACTGGCGATTGCAAGAGGACTCCTCCCCGAGTTACGCTGTCAAAAAGTGCTTTTGTGCAAAGTGCAAGACGTTGCCTGAAGACGCCGCGTTAGCATCCGGCCTCGCAGGGATTATCTGAAGCTGAAACTGAAGAATCCTCTCAAGAGCTGTGAGACACCAAAAGAGGAAACAGACGTGCAGCTGGTGGTAAAGTGTGACCAATTTGTGTGTTTAGCAAAGCTTGAGAGCTGCAGCCTTGCAGTAATGTTTGTACAGTGCTTTAAAGTTGTAAAATGCTGTATAATTCTCGATTGATATGGCAAGGTTTGAGCTTTGCTGACTTCTCTGCTAGACAGAGTGATGTACTATTAAAGAGAGTTGGCAGTTCCTTCCTGTTGTAAACCCCCGTCTTTGTTCCCTCTGTGTCTTTAAAAAAATGGTCTTGTTGGTTATGGGAGCCTTTGGACTATTTCAGGTGTTTTTAGGAGGTTAAAAAAGTTGGCTTTTTAAGGTAGTTCTGAAGTGATGGAGAAACAACTCCTCAGAAGGACATGACTTGGAAGTGTCGCTGGTGTTTTTCACCTTGGTGGCTGTGCACCAGCAGTGTGGATTTCTGATACCCGCAGGGAGTCTTTTCTCCACCCCGTGGATCTGAAGTGAGAGCTCCCTCCCTCCTCCTCCTCCTCCAGCTCCCTTTCCGTGCTGCTCCCAGCTCGAGTGCTCTCCTCAGGCTATGCACTCCGATCCTATAGTCACGTCTGTTTAGTACGTGGTAAGTGTATCAGGTTTGAATGTTGCATGGAAGATCTTCACTTGCCTAACTGTGACTTCCTGGTGCCTTAGTGCATTGAAAACAACAACAACAAAATGTTTGAAAAAACAAACCCTGGGTTTTTGCTGACCACACTGTTTGTATAATCCTTAGCTCCTCTGACTTCCAACTCTTGTTACAAAGTGACTGAGATTTAGTGACCCTCAGGGGGTTTTTGTATATGTCTGCATAGTGGTATTTTTATTGTTTCTGTTACCAATGTATACTAAAGGTTTGGCTTTTTTAATGAAAACTTTGAGATACTTGTCAGAGATCAGAATTTTGGGTTGTGTTTTTTTAGTTGACTAATGCATCTCTCAAAAGTCAAAGCACCAGAAATGTGTTTTTTTGATACCGAGGGACGATGAGTCTGTCTGGGAGCAGCCCCTTCCCTCGGAGCGTACTGTTGGCTGGCGTCTGTCCTGCCCTGAATGGCACCGGAGCTTGTCCCCGGCGTGAGCAGTCGGGTGTGTGCTGGGGGAGTTTAGAATATGAAAACCTTCTGCGCTGCCTTTTCCTAACGTAAAAATACACCAGTGACTGATGGGCAGGGAAAAGGCAGTTGTGTTTAGGTTAAGTCTTGATACGATCACTTTTTGAGGGGACAAATAGTTCAAAAGAAAAGATGTTAAGAGTTAGAGGTGGGAAAATGTTGAGAGAAAGGACAGACTTCCCCATGATGTGGGAATTCACAGCTGAGGGGATGGGGAACTGCGTCCGGGCAGCAGCGTCTGTGCGTGTTTGTGCTGGTGGTTCAGTCCTGGAGGTCAGTTGTTTGTCACAGTGTCTCCGGGCGGGTGACAGTGACATGTTCAGCTTTCAAGGTGTTTCCTGCTTCTGGCCTCGGGAGTTTTTCAGGACCCTGCCGATGTCCTGAGCAACCAGCATGGCCCGTGCTCTGAGCAGGAGGCCGGAGGTGACCTCCCGGGGTCCTTTCCAAGCAGAAAACACCAGAAAGTGGCAAAATGCAGCAGAACCCGCGGCTGGAAGGTTTGGCTTTGTACAAAGCTGGCAAGCAGTGGAAGACTTAGCAAAGCTGAGGGAGTTTGCAGGCACGTGCAAAAGGTTTTTTGACAAGCCCTGAAACCACGTTGTGCTATGAAGGAGAGCGAGTGGCAGGACAGGGAACCAGACCAGGACAGGGCGGGGACGGGAGCTGCTCGGCTCCCCGCCAGCCACACTGGCTCAGCCTGGACCCAGCCTGACCTGGGTCTAAACTCTTCACTGCAGAAGTATTTAAGGTGGGCAGAAGTTTTCAGATGTATTTTGCTAACAGGGTGCATTCAGATGCATTTCACTGGATGAGGACAGGCTTTTAGAATCATTTAGCTGCGTTAGATCTGATTTTAAAAAAATAAAAGCAAACCCGCCTTGTTTTCTTAGCCTTGGCAAGACATGGAGCACCAGCAGCGTTCTGGTTTGGGCGTGTGGGATGCACGTCCCGGCGGCTGTTGGGAGCTGGTTGCTGAGCCAGGTTGGGGTGAATCCCAAGGACACGTTTAACCCGACCGCTCGTTTCTGTCATCCTGGTAAATGTGCCAAGTGGTTCGTGGACTCCGCGTCCGCATGGGCGATTGGGGTTTTACCGACAGCTCTGCAAGGGGAAGGCCGTGAAGGTTGGAGTGGGATCAGCTGGGAAATGGGTTTCCTTCCCTCCCCGGTGTGTGCCTTATGCAGCAGTCCAGCTGTCGATGTTTGGACTGTTTCCTGTGAGGCAAATTTTGAACATGCTGGACATTAATCCTCAGATTTTCACTCCGTAGTTACAGCAGGTGTAACTTCAAAGCTTTATTTGTTTGGTGAGCTCCTTGACACTGGCCTTAAGGTCAAAGACTAAGCAGGAGTTCTGGATTTTTTCTAACACTGCAGCTATCAGCTCTGTTACCACTTACCGTTTCCTGGCTTGTCTGTGTACCACTTGCTTCATTTTTTGTTTTTAAGCTTGCTTGTGGTTTTTTTTTCTTTTTTTTTTTTTTTTTTTTTTTTAAAAAAAGACCTGCGTATCTATAATAGGAAAACGAATTTGTTTTCCTGGATTAATGACGTCAGCCTGGCAGCAGAGGAACTGTGCGACACACTGACCGTGACCAGAGGGGTTCCAGCTGATCTCTCCGTGTCAGGTTTTAGATTTTTAAATTTTTTTGACGTGTAACAGGGAGTGGGAAATCCTTTTAAGAAGGGGAGGGTTGCATTTACCTGGGAGCAGCTCGGGGTATTTTTGGGAGCAGTGCGGAGGGTGTGCTGGCAGCTGTGCCCAGAGGGGTCATTGCATCACTGCTCTGGGGAGGCAGGGCCTGACCTTCGTGCTGTGCCCACGGCGCTTTCCCGTTTCTCTGCTGCTGGTTTGCGATGTCCGTGCCCTGAGCGCGGAGGGTGAGGCCCCGGGCTCTGCCTGACAGCTGATCTGGGATGTTTGCTGCTAGAGAGCACCCAAAAAAGGCTGAGTCAGCAGGCTCCCCAGGTGGACGGGCTACTTCTGGGTGTAGTGGTTGGGTCCAGCCTTCGCCAGCTGACTGTCGCAGTGTCGGGTTGCGGAGCTCGTCCTGAAACGCGTGTGCTGGCAGCTGTAACAGCCCTGTGTCATCTCGAGAGTCCAGTGTCAGGGAGGAGATGGCACTCCTAGAGCCCCATCTTTTTTTAACTACTGGGAAAAAAACATCTTCTGGATATTGAAAAGGCTGAACCTGGCCTGCAGGGAAGAACATCTTTGTACCTGAAATGAGGGAATGAAGTCCCGCCTTTCGCATTCTCTTTAACACTGAGATTCTGCTTTTAAAGGCCAAACTTTGCTAGTGTGTCCCCAAATAGGAAGAACTAAGGCTCCCTACGTCGTGATTTTTTTAGAATTGGGTTGTCGTAGGAATTAAAGAAAAGTTTTATGGACGGTCTTAATGCTTTTTCGAGGAGTCTGTGTGGTTTTAACCTTTGTGGTAGAGCTCCAAGTTCTGCTGATGTAAACCTGAGCGTGAGTCTTCAGCTGGTGAGGCCGAAGGGCAGCGCTGGTAAAACTTGACTCGATTTCCAGTCAGGATTTTTTTTCAGACGGGAGGTGCCGGGTGGCGTGGGGGGAGTAGGCACGACTGTGGGCCAGCGTTTGCCACTGTGGTTGCAGAGTTTTTTTCCTCCGATCGTCGGCCACTCTCGTGCCCCTTCCCCTCGGCAGCCCTGGAGGGAAGCGGAGCTTCCTCGCCGCTGCCTCGCGCGCCGTGAGGACGGTGACTCCTGCTCCTTGTGCTCCGATTCTTGCTTTTCGTTTCCTCGCCTTCGTGACTGAACCAAACTTTCTTTGGCTAGCAACTAGCAGCAATGTTTCTCTTCACCTCCTTGCTACCAGCTCCTTAAACATCCCCAGGTCCCTGTGACTCGGTGCTGCAACCCCTGGGATGTTGCTGTTAAACACCCACAGGCCTTTTAATTTTTTTATTTTGTGAGACACGATAGTGAGCAGCCGAACGGGTCAGATCCTCTCCCACCCTTAATTCTGAGCAGCGCGAGGGGCTGGGGAGCAGCGGCGGGAGGTGGGGGGGAGCAGGACGAGTTGTCTGGTTTGTCGGGGCCGCGGGATGACTCATGACTTACTGTAAACCAGCCCCAAACGGGCTGAGTCACCGCCTTGTCCGTGCTACAGTCGTGCCGATTTCCAACCGCATTCATTTCTTATTAATCAGCTCAGAGTGTGCCATTAACGAGCTCTCTCGAGTATTTTTAGTTAACCCCCCCCCGCCGTGTCCTCGACCGGTCACACCTCAGGGCTGAGCCTCTGAGAGCACCTCGGAGCCTTCTCTCATCAGCGACTGCTTCCAACTCCTCTGGCCATCCCAGGCTGGTTTTTGCAATGCAACATCGAGCTTGTGAGTCTGTGTTACTTCCAACCTGTCTCTGCAACTTGAATTTCCCTCTTTTTGCAAAAAATAATTGTCTCGTGGGGCGGGGAGAAGGTGGTTTTTCCTGCGAGCTGCGTGTCGGCAGAAGGGCTGCCCTTGTGGAGTGACTGTAAATACACTGTTAGTCGAATGTCACGGCCATTGGAATTTTTTTTGCATTTATTTTTAAACTATTCCATGTTTGATACTGTGTATAATAAATTTGCAGAATTTAGAGGATTACACTTTTCTTTATTTTTCCTCCACCTGATGATACGCGCGCGTGCTGCGGTGTGGCTGCTGAGGGTGCTTTGTGCTGCTGGGGCTCGTCCTGTGTCCCTGGGTGGAAGGGTGACAACGTCCCCAATGTCCCCAACGTCCCCAGTGTCCCCAATGTCCCCTTCCACCTTCCGAAGCGCCAGGACACCCGTGACTTGTCCCCTCAGCAGATGTGTTCTGCGGGCAATGATTTAGCCCACGCTTCAGGCTTGTTGAAATATATTTTTATTGCATTTCTGCCGGTTTTACAAAAATATGACAAAATAAATTAAAAAGAAATAAATAACCCCCTTCATTTCTTTTAGTTTCCAAAGAAATGAAACAGCAAGGAAAAAAAAACCAAAACAAAAAACCAACTAAACCAACCTAACTCTTCCATCCTTTGTACAGTAACGGCCCGGAAGAGTGAAATACCAGACAGGCGGCCGCTTGTAGAAATAATTTGTATAGAGAAATGTTTAAAAATGCCCTGGACTGCGGGGTCCTGGCGGCAGCGGGACCCTGCCCTCCCCTCCGCCGAGCGGTGCAGGGGTGGATGGCGCCAGCACTGTCACTCTCGGGAGGGAAATGGGATAAAAGAAACTCCGCGTTCCTCCGGAGCAGAAAGAAAATGAAATGTCGGAAGGGAGAGCGCTCTGCGCCTCTGCCCGATCTCCAGCTGCGGGCAGGGAGGCGTGGGGGGGAGCTAGGGGCTCTGGCAGGGTGCCGAGCCCTGGCAGGGTTGGGTGTTTTGGGTGCCCCAGTCCCCCCAGGGTCTTTTCTCCTGCCATTGTTTTAACTTGCCGCTGCTGCCGCTCCGGGGCACGGCCACCGCGGTGCCGGTCGCGCTGGGTTGCCGGGGGGCTCGTGTTGCCCCAGTTTCCCAGCACCGCCCAGCCCAGTGCTCCCTTTTATTTCCCTGCCTGCGCCCCAGAAATCTCTCCCGCGTCCTCTGCTCCTTGCGTACCCGGGAGGGTGAGCGGGAGACCCGTGTGCCCAGGGAGATGCCGTGGGGAGCCGGGCCTGGCCCTGCGCTCCTGGGGACCGCAGAGCTCAGGGTTGGCCCCAGATTTTGGCCCCGCAGCAGTGGGGTGGGATGGGGGGGACACCCCTGCCTGCGGTGGGCCACGGGCAGCATCTCAGCTCCTGCGCTGGCAGCACGGGTGAGCGGAGCAGCAGGTAAACCCTTCACCCTCTCCTGCCCTTATTGCTGTATAAAATGGCTTGATTCGGACAAAAAAAAAATTAAAATGACGTGATGTATAGAGACAGCGGTGGCAGGTGGAGGAGGGGGGGAAACAACCTGACATTTTCTACAGCCCAGGCCTTGGGGAGAGTGGGGTGCACAGCCCCCGCGTCACTGCCCGGGCCTGGACCAGGCACAGTGATGGGGCGGCTGCCTGGGGGTCCCCCCAGCTCCCCGCAATCCCACCCCTAGCTC